TGCACACAGATGGACTATTTACTAGGAGAGGAGAGGTTTGAGTAGCATCGTGGTTCAGATGACTCAAGTACAGGATACTAGGCCGAAGGCCGCAAAGATACTGAGTACTAGGAACCGTACTATAGCAATGGGGGTTTTAAGAATAAGACACTTTAGAGAATATTGGACATTACATATAAGGTTCAAGGGAACTGGGGCAGTGGATGGGGGAAAGCAGAGTGAACAGTCCTCCTCCAGTCAGAAAACAGCACTGAGGTTGTCTCTACTAACTTCACGGCTTACTCCCCAAACTTCCTTGGGTTCTTATTTTTGTTGTGAGGATTGCCACAACAAAACAGACATTGTCCCTTCCTTCCTCCCTAACACCTCCTCTCTTCTCTCTCCCCGATCAGTTGTTACCTCTGCTAACAGAAGGTGGTGGGACAGAGGGCAGGACCTAGGAGAGTGGGGTCAGTCATACAGGCCCTTATAATTCTTGACACCTCACTAGTCTCTGCCTTGTGAAAACTGGGATAATATCACTAGCCTGAGAGACTGGAGACTGAATCAGATGTCTTCTGGTGCTCAGTTCTGGAACTCTAGGAAACAAGCCAAGAACCCTACAGCCTAAGTCTTGCTACCAAAGTAAGACTCCCAGACATGGACCTCATGATGCACTGCTACCCGGACTCCACCCTGGCAACAGTTACACCACAGCAGAACAGGTTCTATCCAGGCAACTGTCCCAACATCTGTCCCCCGGTGCCCCTGCCTATGCACATGCACACATGTGCATATAGATTTGCACACAAAAACACAGATGCATGCATACACACGTGTGCTACACACGTACAGACACACGCAACCACAAATAGGCACACGTCTCCAGATACACCTAGAGACCTACACATGCACACACACAGGCACATATACCTAGATGTGCACACAAGCATGCACACACACATGTGTATGTGCACACAGACCCACCACTTCCTCCCCCATCTGTGAGACTTTATCCATGCTCCAGAAAAGAACACTTCTTTCTCCAAAGCATAGCGCTTTCCTCTTTCCAAACCCTGCCCAGACTTTTAATCTTCTAAAACCTTAGGAGGTGAAACCTTTCTGCATTGATCTTTAAAATCTGACCACCTCATTGATTCAACAGTTTTTATCTACTTGTGCAACTAGGTTTCTAAACTGTTTCCTTGCATATGAAAATAATAGCATGCTTTACAACCTTTCAGTGTGTTTGTATACCTATTCCAGTACCAAGCATAAGGTTATGCAAAAAGCAGGAACTCATTAAAAATGACCTGAAAAAAAAATGATATCTACAGTGTCTCTAGGTGGAATTAATAATAGTTAACATTTATTTTGCATTTAACAGTGTGGCCAGCTCTGAGCCAAGCACTTTATATACAGTATCTCATTTCATCAGTAACCCTATAAGATAGGTATTAGAGATTTTTTTTATTTAAAAAAAAAAGCTGTGACATAGAAGATTCTAGAATATAAGGCAGTCTTATTTCAGATGCCACATTTTGCCACTGCACAAAACAACTGTCTGTCCATTTAACCATTAACTAAACTGAGACACACATTCCATGAATTACCTGAAGTCACAGGGTGGGGGCTACAAACCAAGTCCTCTCCACTGAGCTTCACTGCCTCTTTCAAGCTTGGCAACTGAATTCTTCCTTCCATGTATAGAGGAAACAGCAAAGACTTTAAAGCCAGGCAGAGCCTAAGTTTTACCTTTTGTAAGAAGAAAATAGCAATAACTACCTAGCCCATTGCTGTGAGGATTGGGCCCAAGGAAGACTCTCATGCATTTCCTGGCACAAAACTAGTATTTGGGTAATGCCAGCTTTCAGCGTCTTCTCTCCCTCCGGCCTCCTCCCCCTCCCAGCCCACCTCCCCGGCCCCATCCCACACACTTGCAGCCTTGCAGGCAGCATCCTTGTTCAGTTTGCCTGACTTCGTCCTTGGGAGCCAGTATTAGATCAAGTGGGCTGCCTCGAGCAGACTCATTAAGGAGGCTTTGCCCCTCTACAATCATGAAGACACTGCAGAAATGGGATCACAGAGCTTGTGTTGCTCATGCTTCATGGAGGCTCTCCCGATGAGCAGTGCAGATTCCATCCAAGAAAAAGACAACCACCCATTGTGGATAGGTGAAAGCATCTGCTTGGGAAAGGTCCCCTCTCCCCTGTTCACAGGGAACCTCTCCCCCTCCTGTAAACTATACCTGTGCGCTCCAGTTACCCTCTCCTGTCTCGCTATGGTGGCATGAGGCTAAATTAATTAATGTGTGTAAACCATGTGGAAATGTTTGGCTTGCCAAGTGCTCTTGATAGGTTTGAAATACTATTGGAAGCCGTGGAAATTGGCACGGCTATCTGGAGCAGAATTGATCTCACCCCCAGGACTCCTGATGAGATTGACTCTGGTTAATGGAGGCATATGCAGGTAGAGCAGGATCTTCATTAAAAACACTGTGGATATATTTCAAACCCTTACTGAGGAGCAGGAAGACAAAATTAAAAGAGAAAGAAAGACACCGGTGCGGGGATTCTCCTACGATGTGCCAGACCCAAAGGGAATTGCCCAAGAGTTGGACAAGAGAAAGGGAGGATCTTCTAAAGTGAGGCACACGGAGCTGGGTGGGTTTGGATGTCTCTGAGAGGCAAGAATCCAATCCTGCAGTGACGGGTGGTGTATTTGTGTACACACAGAGGATGGGCAGGTACCTAACACCCTTCCCTTGACAGACTCATCTTTGCTCTTGAAGCTCCACAAGGCTCCTGAAACAGGAGGCACAGGGAAGGAAGCACCCTGGCCTGAGGTGGGGCAGGCACGGGGCTGGGCTTGCTGCCATCACAGCTGTTGTATCGTCGGGAGTCAACCAGAAAAACGGAACCAGTAGGAGAGAATACATAGTATATGAAGAGATTTATTGCAAGAAACTGGCTTATGTGGTTGTGGGAGCTGGTTTGGCAGGTCCAGAACCCACAGGGCAAGCTGGGACTCCCAGGCACAGGGTGAAGCTGCTGTCCACAGGTAGAATTACTTCTTTTCTCAGGGAAGCTCCAGTTCTGTTCATAAGATCTTTCAACTGATTGATCCACCCAGATCATCTAGGATCATCTCTATTACTTAGAAAGCCAGCCAATGCATCCTGGACTGTAATCACATCCACAGAGTACCTGTGTACCAACACCTATGTTGGTGCTTGAGCAGCACCATGGTGGCCCAGCCGCAATGACACACTAAATCACCCATCACAACTGCTCTGCCCTCCTAACCACTCAGCCCCCACCTCTTCTGTCATCAGGCCCCACCACCACCTCCTGAAGCATCCTGCTCTCAAGTGGTTCTCCAGTGTCCTAGTCACCCAGGAATGGCCCCTAAGTTGTCTGCCCGCCAACCCCATTGAAACCTCAAATGGATCCCCAGGGTGGGCTGTCCACATGGCCTCTCCCTGTTCATCACTTCTCCAGCAGGTGCCTGAAAGTGCCTCCCAGCTGCTCTCCCAGCCTCCAAATCCTCATTTGCCAGGAGAGTGTGTTTCTAAGCTCTATACCCGGGCCAACTCTTCAGCGGCTAAGACTTTCTTGGCACCTGCCCACAGGGTTCCTACAGAACCGTGCACTCTTCTGAGTGGCATCCAGCCTGCCTTCTTGTCGCCCTCCCCTTCCCTGTGTCTTCTGTGTTTCTGTGGTTCCTGGAGCTGACCGTACCGCTCACCTCCACGCCAAGGCCTACACTCTCCACTGACATCCACTCGTATCTTTGCCTCCTCCCCAAAGACTAGCTCCCCAGCTGAGAGAAGCTCCTACCCTGGGCCCCCTTCCTTTCTTCATGGAGATGCTCCACACTCTGGGACAGAACCACCTGCCTATCATCTGCCCCCACCTTGAACGGAGCACCTCTGCACCCCACCCCCACCTCTGCCCCAGTGCCCAGTCCAACATACATAGGGCTCTTGGTGTGTGTCCTGAAAATTCTAGCTGAGCTAGTGGACAAAATGTGCCAGCAGGGTTTCCCCAGCACCCCTCCATTAGCTTGGCTGCTCACATTCTTCCTCTGTGTGTAGTTCTGTTGGAAATTTATTGGAGTAGGGAGTGGTTTTTTTCTTCTCCCTCTCCCTTCTCTGTCTTCCAGTTTGAGAACTGTTTTGAGTAATACCACTGTCATGATAAATTATGGTATACAGAAGTTATGGCCTGAGGTATCGGGGCCCATTTCAGAAACTGAAAAAAAAAAAAAAAACCACAGAACCATGCAGCCAAGAGGGGAAGACAGGCAGGGTGAGAGGCAGGAATGGATGCTGGTCCGAGGCTGCCAGTAGCCTCCCAAGGGTGCTCAGCAGGCCAGGAATGGTCTGACATGTCTCAGGAGTACCCTCCCTGGGCAAAGGAGGAGGGGCCAGGAGACCAGCCACCTGGCTATTTCTGGAATGCACTTCAGAGGATATGAGGGGATAGATGTAGGCAGGGGCCAGAAGAGGAATGACCAAATTTGAAGATCCAAACCTGAGATGAAAATAGGAAAACTGCCCATACGGACAGATGTTGAGACTTAAAAAAAAAAAAAAAAAAAAAAAAAACAGCTACAGCCCCAGACTTTTATTCATTCAGCAAATGTTATTTGAACATGCGATTTGTTTTCAGCCTAGAGATTTGACAGTAGACTAGGGTTCCTACCCTCAAGGGGCTTCATCCCAGAGGGAGGGAAGGATAGGAACAAAAGGGGGTTTGAGAGCTTCAGGTGGTGGTAATGTGCTGAGGAATGTTGGTGGGGTGGGAAGGAGGGTGGTGTGTGTGCTACTGTGGAGAGGTGTCTGGAGAATGCCTGAGAAGCCATGGCTCACCAGGGAAGGTGGTGTAAACAGAGGGAGTGGCACATGCAAAGGTCATAGGGCAGGACTGGCTTTAACATGCCCTAGGTGGGGCAGGAGACAGTGTCAAAGCTGTAGCCAGAGGTCAGGTGGTAGAGACCAGGTGGGAGGCAGAAGGACTTTGGCTTGTGTTTGCATGAGCTGGGCAGTCTCCGGAGGGGCCTTCAGTGGGGAAGGGCCTCATGCTGCATATCCAAAGGACCACTCTGGCTGCTTAGGCTGACGGAGGCAGGTACTGGAGGAAGCTGAGACACATGGACCAGGAGACAGATGCTGCTGCCTTAGGCTCTGCCCCAGAGGTGACGGTGATGCAAAAAGCCGGTCCCAGATGTGACGTGGAGGTGGAGCTAACAGGAGTTGGCATGTTGTGGTGTGGGGTGAGAGGAAGAGAGTCCTGAGCATCCAGGTGGGTGTCTTAGACCATTCCGGCCACTGTAACAAAAACCACTGACTGGGTGGCTCATAAACAACAATCATTTATTTCTCACAGTTCCAGAGCCTGGGAAGTCCAAGATCAAGGCGCCCCAGATTCAGTGTCTGGTAAGGACCCACTTCCTGGTTCATAGACGGCTCTGCTGGGCTATGTCCTCACACGGTGGGATGGGCAGTGGGGCTCTCTATGGGGTCTCTTTGACAAGGATACTCATCCCATCCATGAGGGCTGCACCCCCATGACCTAATCACCTCCCAAAGACTCCACTTCTTAATACATCACACTCAACATGTGGATTTGGAGGACATAGTCATTCAGTCCATAGCAGTGAGTGATGATCTCTTTTGCTGAGATCGGGGAGCCTCACAGGCTGATCAGACCTGAGGAGGTGCAAGCCCACCAGTATATACCCAACCAGAGGTACCCAACAGATCTCACCTTTCACTGAATGGAACCCTTTTTACTAAATGGGCCACTCACACGTTCACACAGGAGTTGTGGCTCACACGTACTGTACCGTAGAGACCTTGAAACTCAGAACATTATCAGGTGCCTTGTGATCAAAACCTAGTCAGTAGGGGCTTGCTGCTCGGTGTGTGTTTACCCGCATTGGTTATATCTGTCACTCTCTACCCATCATAAGGCATTTCTCAGAGCTTCCTCTTTCCTGTTTGAAATAGTCTCCCTGCAGAGAGACAAAAAGGCATCTGAGGTGTGGGGGGCCTACAAGGCATGGGGGTGGGACAGGAGCAGAACCTCATCTCTGTGGATGGGGCAGAGGGGATTCAGTGGACTGCTCCCCACCCCCTGTACTTCCCCACGGCTCTCTTGGGCAGTTGGTATTGGCAGGGCTGCCTTATGGCTTGTGGGGCCCCTAGGCACTTGGTTTTCATAGGTCCCTTTCTCCATAAAAAAAAAATATTAAAAATTGTATTTTATGACTGCATGGGTATCGAGATGAATATAATGCAGGCTGGGTTATATGTGGGGTTTTTTTTCCCTTCCGATTTTAAAAGAAATTAAAGCAGTGTTGTGGGCCCTTGAAAGTATCATGGGCTTTAAGCACAGTGGCTGCTATGCCCAGTGGAGAAGCGTCCCTGTGTGCAAGACAGGAAGAGGGTGGATATGGAGGAGCCATGGACGGCAGGACACCTGGGCCTCTGTCTTGACCCCTGAACAATAAGCTATGAGATCTCTGATCAGTCTCTCTTCCTCTCAAGGCCTCGACTTCCTCATCTTCCCGTGGCGGAAAGGGGGGTAGGGGTGAGGGGTGAGGGGAGCCGAACTTGACCATCTCTTGGCCTTCTAAGCAATGACTCCCCAAGATTCTAACTAAAGCATGCAGACCTTGAGCTTCATTTTTAACTTTCTGACCCCAAGGGAAGGCTCTCCTCCATCCCACCCCACCCCCCAAACTACAATATTAAACTTGTTTTCCTTTCTGGATCTCCTTCTCTCATCAAATCACATTCTGGTGTTGTGTGCAGCCACTGGTTTCCAAAAGGCGGCCATAAAACCATAATGAGTATGGAGATACCAATGTGAAATGACAGAGCGAAAGCCATAAACATTCAAATAAATATATAAATATAAACAAGTCTATAAACCAAACCCAGGAGGTATTTTAAACGCATAATGTAGCATTTATATCTCTTACTTTGCACAGCAGAACTTTCAAAGGAAATTCATTTAATTCTATTGCTCACACCCCTAACCCCCATCCAGGAGTAATCGCTAATAACCAGCACAATTACTGCCTCCCTCCTGATGGAAAGTTCATTTCAGAAGCTCGTTTCTTGAATTCATTATCATGCTGGAAATGAGCTGAATCACAGTGGATGTGACCACATGACGATCCCCCTGCTTCCTTCCAGTTGGGCTCAGCGAGATGCCTGCCAGAGCCTTGGCCCCTGCCCACTCCGACTATTGCAAAAGTAGTTACCACTCAATACCTGGCCCGATTTAAAGAAGCTCATCAGGAGTTAGGAAGAGGTCAGATAATTCTGCTTAATTACAGGCTTGATGGGCAGAGGGACTTCCCGCTCCTTGAAGCATGACTGTGGCCCTCTCTCTCCAAAGAAAGGGGACCTAACCTCCCCATGGCTCACAGCTCCAGCCAGGAAATGGCCAAGAGTGAACTGAGCCCTGCGCACACACCTTCCTGTCCCGAGTACTGTCAGGTGCTCACTCATCTACCCCCCCCAACAAGGATTCAGGGGGCACTGCGCAGAATTTGTGAGGTCCAGTGCAAAAGGAAAATAGGTGGCCTTTGTTCAAAAATAGCAGGGGAAACATGCAGTTAACAGTACTGAAAGGTGAAACTTTTTCTTTCATTCTTCCTCAGGTGGTTTTCTCCCTCTCTCTCCCTCCTTTCCTCCCTCTCTCTCCTGACTTGTCGTGCTGTTTTCATCTGCTATTTAATGTTGCACTCCCAGGGGCACAGGGACTCTTGCTAGGTGTCACCACATGTCCCCCCACTCCACCCCACCAATTTTGTATGTGCACAAAAGACCCACTACCTGCGGGCTTCCCTGCCCTCGGCCATCAGAGTGCCGCACCACATCCCAGGCAGCATAGGGGAGCTGAGCCAGGTGTCTCACCTTCCCACAAGCCCCTGACTCCAGCCCACTATGAATGGATGACCCCCAAGGGACTGCAACCTCTTGGCCCGGTTTCACTTGGTACCAGGAAGGGGCCAAGATGCTGCTGTGTGCCTCAGGTAACTATACCCCTCCCCACACCCGAGCACACCTGAGCACAGAAGGCAGCAGCAATCCCTGGGTGAGGGGCCAGAAGGGAGAGGCAGCAGGAGGCAGGCCAGAGTGTCAGCCAAGGATCCAAGCCTCCCACATTCATGGCCCACTGTCTGTCAAACTTCACTTACAAGACACAAATTTAAGATTTTGAACAATTGAACATGTTTGAATTATTAAGAATTTCAAGATGCTGATTATAGAGCAACAAACCCCAAACCTTTGAAGCATAAGACTGTATAAAACTGCCCTGGTCACATGCCCACAGAACCAGCTTTGGGTAGATAGTACCACAAATGGGAGAACATAGGCCCTAAAATTAGGCCAAGGTCATGATACTGAAAAGCGGGCAGGAGGGGGGGCAGGGGTGGGGGCGGGGGGGGCCTAAGGCTCAAACTTTGTAACCTGGCTCCAGAGCCTTATTCTTTACCACTTCCCTGTGCTGTCCCTCATTCCTCCAAACCTGGCTGCTGCCCCTCAGGGTGATCAGCACAGTACTACACTGTGTAGAAAAGGCAAAAGAGGGACACCTGGGTGGCTCAGTGGTTGAGTGTCTGCCTTCAGCTCAAGGCATGATCCTGGGGTCCTGGGATCAAGTCCTGCATTGGGTTCCCCGCAGGGAGCCTGCTTCTCCCTCTGCCTGTGTCTCTGCCTCTCTGTGTCTCTCATGAATAAATAAATAAAATCTTTAAAAAAAAAAAAAAAAAAGAAAAGGCAAAAAAAAGTGCATGCCCCAACCTACAGCATCATACTGACTCATGCTGACTGGCTGTGTGGCTTTAGGCAAGTCACTTAACCTCTCTGAGCTTAAGCCTAACCTGCCGTATGGAGGCACTATGAAAAAGAAATTTGGAGTGATAAAGGTACATTTATAGAGAAGCACCAGTGTCACCTAATATATAAAAGACGAGTAGTAGAGCTTGACCAGAACTGGATCTCTCATCCATCTCCTCCTTTCCCAAGCTTCTTCCCACCCCTCTGTGCAACTGACCCTGACCCTGAATGTCCAAGAAGGACAGTGCACACACTTTGTAATGTAACTACCCCGTGGCTATACAGTAAGAAAGGAGCAAGTCTGAACCAGTTCACCGTTCAGGTCTCTAAAGGAAACTGCTTTGATGTCATCTTAATTATAATGGGGCTTTTTTCTTATATGTGTACGGTCCATGGGGCTAGCTCTCTGCCCTAGTGATCCAGCACTCTCCCTGCCCAACCTGACATCTGCGCCACTGAGTTAAATGTTGACTGAATGAAGTCATCAAAAGTCTGCACCACAGGGCTCCTGGGCGACCCCATCGGTTAAGCACATTGGACCCTTGGTTTCAGCTCATGTCATTATCTCAGGGTCATGAGATCAGGCCCCACCTTGGGCACTCATTGGGGAGCCTGCTTCCTGTCTCCGTCTGCCCCTGCTTGTGCATGCTTTCTGTCTAAAATAAATAAATCTTAAAAAAGAAAGAAAAAGAAAGAAAGAAAGAAGAAAGGAAGGAAGGAAGGAAGGAAGGAAGGAAGGAAGGAAGGAAGGAAGAAAAGAAAGAAAGAAGAAAGAAAGAAAGAAAGAAAGAAAGAAAGAAAGAAAGAAAGAAAGAAAGAAAGAAAAAGAAAAGGTCTGGGGAGCCTGGGGAGCTCGGTCGGTTAAGCACCTGGCTTTGGCTCAGGTCATGATCTTGGGGTCCTGGGATGGATACCTGCATGGGGCTCCCTCCTCAGCAGGGAGTCTGCTTCTCTCTCTCTTCCTCTGCACTTCCCCCCTGCTCATGCACTAACTCGTGCTCTTTCTCTCTGCTCTCTCTCTCAAATAAATAAAAATCTTTTTAAAAAAAAAAGTCTTTTCCTCAAATGATCTCATCAGACTGACCCATTAGTAAGCTTTGACTTAAAGGACCCAAATCTATAGTAAGACAAGAAAAAGCCTTGGCAACCCTCAACTTTTAGGTCTCTTCTGCTGACCTCGAGTGACATGTGCTTCCTCAGACAAGCTCAGGAGCTTTCTTTTGGTCTTATCAGAGAAGTTCCTGGTTTGGCAAAACGGGTTGAAAGGTCTGAGCCATCAGAGCCTCTGCGTCGGCCACTGCAGTAACTGATGCTGGCTGATGGTGTGCGAGGGTGTGTGTGGTTATGTGTGGCTACGCATGGTACCCAAGACCCCACCTCTCTGGGATCCAGTTCACTGCCTAGAGCAAGTCAAACATATCTGGAAATTTTGCAGAACCTCAGCTCTCAACTTCAGCCAAGAGAGTTATTTCATGAACTGTCAAAAGGCCATAAATGAGCCATGGAATGGTTAGTAGTTGTTAGGAACATGTGTAAAGTACTCAGCACAGTTCCTGGGACATAGTAAGTGTTCAACTAAAATGTCAGTCCCTGGCCAACGTCTCTCTCTTGGGGAGGCCTAGTGAGTAGTGGGATTTGTCACCTATTCCTTAAGGGGAGTAGAGACTATTTTCCCCAGAGAGGGGCAGTAGGAGAGTTGAACACCCTGATGAGAGAGGACAAAGGTGGAAGAAAGAATCTGAGGCAGGGTAGGGTGGCAGGAACATGGATTATGGAAACCTGAAAACCCTTTCTACCTACTGCTCTGCTTTTGCATGGTCTGGCCCTGGAAACCTCAGGAACAGGGTTAGTGTAAGGTCTCTAGTATAATATGAAAAACATATCTGCCCAGAATCACTTCTGCTGCGTCTGCCTTCCCTGGAGACCATGTAACTGTAATGGGCACATAAGCTGGTCTTTCCCAAACACACTTAGGTTCTTGCAAAAGATCAGAAGACACACACAAAAAAAATCACTCAGGTTCTTTCAAAGGAGTCTTCTCTTAGATCACTTTCTATTTCTTGAGGCCAAACAGCTTGTACTTCCTCGTGGTAAAATGCAGACACTTGAGTGCTTTCTCCAGAGCAAAAATTGGTTGACACTCCCCGATGATGGATTCAAACATTTTGACTGTACTCATTCAAATTCCCGTCAGTTTAGTCAATTGATGTCATATCAAATATCTGTCAGTACAACCAGCCAAGTCGATTAGACACCTGGTCTTTTTAGTCAGCTAAACTTGTTATTTCTGAAAACAAAAACAAAAACAAAAGAAAAAAACAAGATAAAAGTACCTATCAATTTAGTTAGCGACAGACTAATAACTTCTATCAAAAAAAAAAAACTACATTTTTGTCAAACTACTTTGATTTTTTTTTCCCACTGAATCTACTAAATCAATCAGTTGTGTGCAGTGTGGGGAGGATATTGACCAGATGTGCAGCTTGAACAAGCAGGGAGGTGAACATCAGAAATGAAATCATCAAAAAGATTCCATCAGAATGGCCGCTGCTCAATCATCCACAATAACAATGAGAAATGGGATCCTGCAAGATGTATGACAGGTAGTCCCTAATCACAACAATTTGGTGCATGGAAGAGCATTTTTCTATTCTTTCTAGAAATTCACCTTCCTGTCTTGTTTGTCCATAATTGATAAGAAAATGGGTGTGATTGCCCCGGGAGTACTGATTTGTGTCCCTGATTGCCTGTCAAAAACCAACAAGCTGATGGCAGGTTTGCTAAAAACCAAAAGTTGATTGTATTTATTTGAAGTCCTTTGACTGTTATATTATGCTGAATTAATTCTGAAAGATATGATGCTTTCCCAAGTCCAGAGGATTATGATAAATTCAGTGCTTGACACGGTCTGTGTTAGACCCAAACTAAAGAGTTAAAATTGATTTCTTTGTTTAAACTGAAACCATTCGACCTGGCCTTTGGCACCCTCCTTCTGTACCCTTTATCCTTCTCTCAAGCATCATCTCACCCTTTCCCGGGTTCCCCGCCACCTCGCACCCCCCCCTCCCCAGGATGCCTGGAGCCTTAATACTGTCCCAGAGCTCTCCCTTGCAGGGGTGACCATTTAATAGACCAAGCCACGCTAAGAGATCTTTGACTCACTGTGCTAAATCTTCCCAAGGGTGCTTGTTCTTCAAAAGAGGATACCTGAAGACATCTGTGTTTAGTTCAAAGGAGTGAATCACTAAAGGTATAATTTCAGATGCCAGGTAACTGGAGAGAGTCCAAGTGTCAGCAGACATGGTTTTAACAAAGCCAAGTATTGTGAAGAGCCATCTTGCTTGGAGAATCAGAGCATATTCACTCTCAAGTGTATTCATGCAGAATTAAGTGGCCCACTTTTGTCTGATTCAAATTTTTCACTGGCCAGATTTTCTCCCGGTCATAGACATTTCTGCAACGGGAATAAGCTGATTATTTATTGCTAGTCACTCACCACCTACAATTCACTTTTCCAATTTTCCGTGTTGCCTGTACAGTGCCACTTTGTCAATCCCTGCAGTTTATTGACTGTGTTCTGATGGCTGGGGTAAACAAATTACTTCAAGAATGACTGGAGCAAAAAAGGGCATTGCTCGCTGGCTTCTAATGATGGAACTGGTGTGTGATCCAATTGGTCCTAATGTCAGGAGGCAATTCACCATCACGAGGGTGCAGGTTGCCAGAACCCATCCTATCAGTGACAAAATTTCGTACGGTGCATAATATTGACCTTTTTTTATTCTCAGTAAATAGTAGATAATATTAAATCAAATGATTTTGCAGATAAAAACTCCCAGATTTTGAAGTCTACCCCTTTAAAATCTACTGAAAATATACGGCACAGTAACAACCCTGCTCTATAAATGCATTAAAAGCATCAAAAACCAGGAGGTTCACATTCTTGCATTAGGCCAGAGGATATGTATTGGATCTAGGATCAAGTCCTTGCACAATCCAGACCCAAATTCGGGCTTAGCTCGGTGGACTCCAAATTTTTTTATTGTGCAATTCTACCAGAAAAATATTTTTGAACAGGCACCCCCCTATACATTTGTTTAATTACAAATTATATTTCTGTACGTACATCAGCCAGTATGTCAAGCCACATACGCAGTTAGGTGAGGGTCATCTTTAATGACAGTAAATGTAAATCCTTTTTAAACTAGATTTCATAATCCTGACATTTGAGGGGCCTAGTTCTTGTCATGGCTAATTAGGTTGTCATTGCCTTTACTTTCTAATGTGGCTGGAATAATCAGAACATAAGCAGAACTGAGGAAACAATAGCCCCAGCACTTTCCTGTGATTTATTTGGGCTTTTCTATCAATCTTTCTTTATATGCTGAAGTCTTTGTAAGAATCTTGTTAATCCTAAGTGTCCATTTTGTGTAAATCCCTTAGTACCATGGGAAACCACTCTATTCCAGAATGATGATAATAATAATAATAATAATAATAATAATAATAATAATATCCAATCCTGGATAATAAAAAGCACTTATCCAGGATTGACTCCAGAAGCTGCATCGGCAGCCATCAGCCTCCTGATCTTGCATGCTGACCTTCACATATGATATACAAGGTCCATACATGACATGTGACAACTTGAAAAAGGATCTGAACCAGGACATCTTAAGTTTATCTCAATTTTTAGATAAAAATATACATAGAAGTCCTAATATTTTCTTTTTTAAGCTTGTTTGTTTGTTTATTTGAGAGAGAGAGAGAGCACTGCAGAGGGAAAAGGAGAAGCAGGCTCCCCACTGAGCAGGGAGCCTGATGTGGCGCTGGATCCCAGGACTCCGGGATTGTGACCTGAGCCAAAGGCAGCCATTCAATCGACTAAGCCACCCAGGCACCCCATAAGTTCTAGTATTTTCTGACCTCACCCCAGTGGCCTGAGTGTCTTACATCTCCCTCAGGATGAATGTCCCACTTTGAGAACCACTGGTTCTAGTTCACCTCAAAATACAGGCTCTTCAGGAGAGGAGGCCCGCTGAGACCGTGTCAGACTTGATGTCCTGCCCAGTAGTTTGGGTATCCTGGGGCCACTGGGAAGCGTTAAACGGTCTTTTAAAGAAGGGATGATGTGACCTAATTTACATTCTTGCAAGATTATTCTGAATGCCCTAAGGAAAATGGATTGTGAAGATAATAGGAGTTATATAACAGGAGAAATGATAATGGTCTGAATTAAGGCTGCAGCCTTTAAAGATGGAGAAAAGTGGGCAGATTCACAAGATAGTAAAGATTTGGCTATTCACTAAACTTGCCCAAGGTTAAACAGCTGGTAGGCAGCAGAGCTAAATTTAGACCCCAGGTCTCCTCACTCCCAAAACAGTGATTTTTCTTCTGATTTGCCATGTCAGAGAACACCTGGTCCCTCCGTTTTATCCTCCCCGAGGGAGATAGGTGATCAGGAGCTGAGCCCAGACAGCACCGTGCAGTTTCTAGCAGGGTGATGAAGGAAGGCACCAGGAAAGGAAAGGCACTGCCTTCTCCAGATGTATTTGTCTTTGTAGGATCCATCAGGGGACTCCATGAGAATCTGTTTTCTGGGTGTTGAATCCCATACTGAAATAACACATTTTCCATGACGGCAAACAGAAACTCCAAGTGACTATCCATTCAAGTGCAGGCCTTAACAAAAACCATAACCCGTCCTGCTGAAGAGTGGAAGGTGCTAGGGAAGTACCAACATGGGGGAAAGATAAACAGATTCTTGTAATCATTCCTACTCAGGAGCCCTCATCTCTTCTGGACTGTTTAAAATCCTTCTTCCTTTAAGCTAAAACGTTAGCTCCTCCAAAAATTCCTTCCTAGTTACCCCCTTCTTTCCCATCTCCTGCCCTAATATCCTTTCTTATGGCATCTCTTGCTCAGGGTTCAGTACAGAAAACAGAAACCACTACAGATATTTTAAACAGAAAGGGATTTAATACAAGAACCTGGGGGTGGGGTCACGAAATTTGGGGCAGAGTTGTAGGAGTGAGCTTTCTAGGTAGGGCCAGAAATTACTCCTGGAACACTACAAAACTGACCCATAGGGGCCACTACCTCCAAGGCCTCCACTGAAACTACTGAGCTCAAGAACCTACCATGATATTCCAGGAATCAGGAAGCCAGAATCATGAAGTCACTCTAGCTCCCACCCCTCAAACCCCACAAAGCTGATGGCTAAGCACAGTGGCAGAAAACATCATCTGTCCATGACCTTGCTTTCAAAAAAAACACACACACAGCTGAAAGAGCAAGACTTCTGCTTCACTTCTACCTTTTAAGTTTTGCCTAAATGCCTCTGACAACCCCTGATTTTATCCTAAAATTTTAGCTGCAAGGGAAGCTGAGAAATTTGATTTTTAACTTTCTAGCCTCTTGAGTATAGTAAGGTACCCTAGAAGGATTGAGCAAGCCACACTACGGGTTCCAGCGTGGGATCTCCCAGATAATACATCCTGCATTGTTTTTTATGTGTCTAACCACCTCTCCGTTCCTAGAGGACAGGGTTCATGTCTTTCACATCCTCTAAGGCTGCAAGATGAGAGGCCCTTCCTTGCTAAGGACAGGCAAATAATCAAACGATGAGATGCATTCACTGTTTCAGTATTTCCTTACTTTGCTTTCTGATTCTGTTCCTACCTTTAAATGTTGTCTCTGCATTAAACCTCCTTGAAGGTAATGCTAGTTGGCACTTCTCCAAGTGAGCCACGGGGCTGGGTGTGTGTATATGTATATTCCTCAACTAGTGGGTGATTGTGTTTCACAACTGATCCCCAGCCAGAGCTGGGTTTTTTCCCCCAAGAGACATTTCTACCCAATGAGGCTCAACCAATAGAAAAGTGATTCCCTAAAGCCAACAGATCTTTCTTTTATGAACTATCATCTCATTGTGGCAACAGGCTACCTCTGAACGGGTAAGCAAGTGCCCTCTACACTGCCCTATATGCTTGTTATGAGGATTAGGTAAGAAAACACAGGTAACAGGGCACTGGTTTAGCAGTGGTTTAGCACTGCCTGCAGCCCAGGGCGTGATCCTGGAGACCAGGCATCAAGTCCCGCATCGGGTTCCCTGCATGGAGCCTGCTTCCCTCTGCCTGTGTCTCTGCCTCTCTCTCTGTGTCTCAGTAAATGGATAAAATCTTTAAAAAAAAAAAAAAGAAAGAAAGAAAGAAAGAAAGAAAGAAAGAAAGAAAGAAAGAAAGAAAAGAAAACACAGGTAACAATACCTAACACATAGAAGGTGTTCAGTGAGTGTCTGTTCCTTCCTTCTCCCCAAGAACTTTTTCTTCCATAAAAAATATGCCTTTCTGGGCTCTTGCTAAGAGACTGGCTAATTAGATCCTTGAGGCAATATTAATGGTTAATGTATTAGTTGTCTACCGATGTATAACAAATTGCCAAAACTTAGCCAACTTAAAACAATAAAAATGTCCTTGGCCAGGAATCCAGGAGCAGCAGCAGCCTACCTGGTGGCTCTGGCTTAGGATCTCTAATGAGACGGCTGTCAAGATGACAGCCTGGGTTGCCGTAGTCTGAAGGCTTTACTGGAGCTGGAGTCTGCTCTCAAGAAGAGTCTGCTGTGCAGCTAGCCAGCTGATGCTGGTTGTTGCCAGGAGGTCTCTGCCTCTCCATGAGGAACTACCAAGGCTGCTCGAGCGCCATCATGACATGGCAGCAGCTCCTCCAGAGCAAATGCCCTAAGAGGGCAAGGCCGAAGTGGCAAGGTCTTTAATAAACTAGCCTCCGAAGCCACAGAGCCTCATTCCCATGATGTCCTGCTGGTTACACGGGTCAGCTCTGTGAGTACTGGGAGGCAAGGGTCACCAAGGGCCACCGTGGTGGCTGGCTGCCACACCTTATAATGGCCTAATACTGTAGAGGAGCTCTTCCAGTTGCTGTCATTGTGATTTGGGTGGGATTTTGAATGTTTCAATGCAACTTTGTGAGATACCCTTAGAAACACTTTAATCTTTGTCAAGATTTTAGCTCTAGAGTGCACTCATTAGACATCAGGAAATATGTAAATAATGAATAAATTTGTCCTTTGAGCAACATATAGGCATTCCCCAAAATGGAGCAACTCAAGAGATAAAGCATCTATGGAGCTTCTTGTGAATATATATGTATGTGAATTAGGTGCTATGTGTGTGTGATAAAATGTCACCCACAGTAAGAATTTGGGAACGTGTAAACTATAATAAAAGAACTAGTAATAATCACTGAATTCCTTTTTATGTTCAGGAGTGTGTGTGTGTGTGTGTGTGTGTGTGTGTGTGTGTGGTATGCTTTCTTCAATAGATAGGAATAGAAATGTATGATAACTATGAATTGCAATTAAGGAATAGAATGAAATGGTATAACCCTGACAAAGTAAGAATAATAATAAAATTAGTAAAAATTGA